GGGGTGGGGGCACAAATCCCTGCACATTCTCTGGCCTCTCTGGTGTTCTCAGACTCGTTTTGTCTCGCAGCCCTGCCGCAGAGTGGTCCTCTGCAGAGTGACCCTCGTACTGATGCTGCCCTTTTAGCCTGGCCCCTCGGCGCAGGTGCCTGCGCTGCGCACACCTGAGCTCCCTGGGCCCAGGTGTCCGGCAGCATGGCAGGGGTACCTGTGCCCACACCTCTCAGCCTGGGCATCCACTCTGGCAGCAGGGGGAGTAAAAAACCTGATTTTTAACTTCATTTACCCTGCATGTGTAATCAGCAGTTTAGAATTATGATAATATTCCTACTTGTGTTTGTATTAATTTGCATGTACACTCATGTGTGGATAAAAAACTTAGCCTGAGGTTAGTATGAATAGAAAGAGTATCCTGATATGTGAATATGCCTAGAAGTTTAGTTGTACCAACTATCATCGTTCGTTCTGGTTTTTTTCCCTCAGGAAAGGGAATTCTTAAAGAATTATGTTCAGCGAATAGTTGATGTCCGACCAACACTGGTTTTAGTTGAGAAAACAGTATCTCGGATTGCCCAGGATATGCTGCTGGAACATGGCATCACATTGGTCATTAATGTCAAATCAGTGAGTTTTCTTATTTCTCTACTTTCATATCATTTAAAATTCACAGTGTTTATGTGTATGGGTCTTTGATATTCAGGGATCTTTGTTTGTCATATAGATTGAAAATAGTACAGGAAGCACGACAGCTGTATTATTATTTAAAGAGAGGACAATCACTCAGCAAGTGATTAATTGTATTCCTGTATTTTTAACACTCATATAGGTATCGGTAAGACCAAAGGTATAATAGACATTAGTTATTTAAAAATATTTGTTGCGCCTTCATTTTGTTTAGAGATTTGCACAAACAGACAGTGTTCTCTCCTAAGAAAAGTTAGCTTCCTAAAAATAGAGGCCAGTGTTTCCCTCCTTCCCAGCCTCCACCCTCAGTCAGTACCCCCTGCCAATGTAAGTACATCAGTGCCTTTTGGGAATGTTACTAGTAATATTTCGTACTGTGAGGGCTATTTAAAAATTATTCCTGGGGCCTCCCTGGTGGAGCAAAGGGTTAAGTCTTAGCACTATGAAGCTTTCCGCAGAATTTACCCCCAGCCAGGGAGCCGACCCACCTGATGTTGCAGACCTCTCCTGTCTCATCCACTGCTCCCCTCAGCGGTGTATTTCAGTCAATCTGCCTGTTCTCCCCACTCTGTCTCTGGTGAATCCTCTCACTCCCCACACCACCTCTGGCCTGTAACCCAGTTCTTATATGCATAAAAAATAAATGTTTAAATTATTTTTCCCTATTCCTCGTTCAAATTAAATCCACTAAGTCTTTTATTCTCGCCTTTCTAACTTTATGTTTTTCTGTTTTAGCAAGTTTTAGACCGAATCAGTCGAATGACTCAAGGTGACTTAGTAATGTCAATGGACCAGCTGCTTACAAAACCACACCTAGGCACCTGTCATAAATTCTATATGCAGATGTTTCAGTTGCCTAATGGTGAGTGATCTTTGGCATAGATTCACCTGAGAGTGGTGCTTGCGGAAATGAATAAACTTATCAGCACTACAAGGTTTACTTAATAGGAAATATATGTTAGCAGTGATTAAATGAAGATAGGCAACTGTTGCCTTACTTAGTAAGTTTTTTTCTTATAGATGTAAGATACTGAATTCATTCTGTCTGGTCATCTGAATTGCCACCTAACCTTCTTTTAATTTTTGTTTGCCTCTTTATAGAACAAGTTAAAACACTGATGTTTTTTGAAGGCTGTCCACAGCACCTTGGCTGTACAATTAAGCTTAGAGGAGGTTCTGATTATGAGTTGGCTCGAGTTAAGGAGATCCTGATATTTATGACCTGTGTAGCATATCATTCGCAACTAGAAATCTCTTTCCTCATGGATGAATTTGCTATGCCTCCTACATTAGCACAGAACCCTTCCTTCCATTCTCTGATTGAGGGGCGTGAGGAGGAAGAGCCTGCACAAGAGCAGTTCAGTGGAAGTCCCCTCCCCCTGGAGCCTGACTTCCCTCCAGAATTTCCACCTTCTGATGATAGCAGTTTGCTGGAATCAAGGATTGTGCTGGAGAAGGGTGACCAAGACAATAAAAGCGTTGCTCAGGAGTCTGCCTCTTTGAAACACCAGGAGTGTGCCCCAACAGCTTGCACGGTCGGGGTCCCCTGTGCTCTCTTTCCTTCAGTTCCTGCTTCGTTGTTGCCCCTCCCTGTGGATGACCAGCAGGATGTCCTAGGTGGTGAGCAGCCAGAGACTTCGCAGCAAGCAGATGAGCTCCAGGATCCCAAGGGCCAGATGAGAGCCTTCAGAGACCCGTTACAGGATGACACTGGGCTATATATTACTGAGGAAGTTACTTCTGAAGATAAACGAAAGACTTATTCTTTGACCTTTAAACAGGAATTAAAAGATGTGATCCTCTGTATTTCCCCAGTAATCACATTCCGGGAACCCTTCCTTTTAACTGAAAAAGGGATGAGATGCCCTACCCGAGATTATTTTGCAGAACAGGTTTACTGGTCTCCTCTACTCAATAAAGAGTTCAAGGAAATGGAGGGCAGAAGGAAGAAACAGCTGCTCAGGGATCTCCCTGGCCTACAGGGCATGAACGGGAGTATTCAGGCCAAATCTATTCAAGTTTTGCCCTCACATGAGCTAGTGAACACAAGAATCGCTGAACATCTGGGTGAGAGCCAGAGCTTGGGTAGAATGCTGGCTGATTATAGGGCTAGAGGAGGAAGAATTCAGCAGAGAAATTCAGACCCATTTGCCCATTCAAAGGATGCATCTGGTACCTCAAGTGGCAAGTCAGGAAGCAAAATGGAGGGCGATGAAGAAAAAGGGTTGATTCCTAATGATGCAGTTTGGTCGACAAAGGTGAGCTCACTTGGGTACTTGTGTAAATTTAAAGTATGTTAAAAGTCCTTCTATGGCATCCTGAAAGAAAAACTCAAACACAATAAATCACATTCAGAATTGTTAAATATTTATATATATATGTGTATTTTTTGTCTTGAGTTTGTTGGCTTATGTTTTGTTGTAGAATGTATGAAGTAGCAATATAATGTCATGAAGCCTGGGTTTTTGTTTTTTTTTTAAAAAAGATTTTTTTTTATTTATTCATACAGAATTGGGATACAGGCCAGAGATGCGGAGGGTGAGAGGATTCACCAGGGACAGAGTGGGGAGCAGAACAGGCAGATAGGTGAAGTACACTGCTGAGGGGAGCAGCGGAAGGTCAGGAGAGGTCTGCCACGCCATGTGGATCACCTCCGGGGCAGGAGGGGATCGAACTCATGCCGAAGTGGCTTAAGCTTCTTAGTGCAGTGCTTTAACCCGCTGTACCACGAGGGAGGGCCCGAAGCCTGGGTTTTGAGGCTTTCTATATGAGCTCACAGTTCACTAGGAAAAGTACGGAGCTGCTTAAAATTTCTCAGAGGTTGACTTGACTACTGGTGATGTGTCCTTGAGATACACTTGTTTAATAAAACAAAAATGTTCAATGTACTGGTAGTCAGGGAAGCGTTAGTAATAATGATACCCTTTTTCATTTTTTGTGAGATGGTGAAAAAGTAAAAAGAACCATGGTTCATGAGGCTGTATCTGTAATATTTAAATTAATGTAATGAATTTTATGTAACCTTACACTTGTATATATTTATGTAAATTTACAGATATAACAGGTGTCTGAATTACTTTTCATATACATACTGTGTTCTTTGATCTGGGATTCCTATCTTTTATAATCTGTTCCTTCAAAAATAAGCAAATCTGGCCCTCCCTGGTGGCGCAGCGGGTTAAAGCACAACACTAAGAAGCTAAAGCCACTTCTGCATGAGTTCGATTCCCGCCTGCCCCGGAGGTGACCACGTGGCGTGGCAGACCTCTCCTGACCCGCCCCCTGCTCCCCTCAGCAGTGTACTTCATCGATCTGCCTGTTCTGCTCCCCACTCTGTCTCTGGTGAAGCCTCTCACCCTTCGCATCTCTGGCCTGTACCCCAGTTCTGTATGAATAAATAAATAAATCTTTAAAAAAAAATAAGCAAATCTTCGGCGTAAGGATGATTATATTTTGTAAGAATATATATGCAAGGGTGTTTGCTGAAGCATTGTTTCTTGTTTGCAGTAAGAAAAATGTGCTGTGTCTCATTAGTAATCCAGATAGAACCCATTATATAGTTAAAGTGTTAAAAAAGCAAATTTTGTTTTGATATATGGAGTATCGGCTTATTTTTCATAAAAACATAATCGCCTATAAATATTTAGGTGGATGTTCTTGTGTGTGGTGTGTGTGAGAGCTAGCAGAAAGAATGTGTGGTTTTCAATCATACAGTGACAGTAAGAGACCTAATGTACTTTTTGAACTCTGCATATTTCTAGACTGAGTTTCAGCAAAGAGCAGGTGTTACCTTTTTTAGAGTCAAAAACAGAAAGTACAAGTAGTTAATACCTTAGAATTTAGATTTCTGGTTGTTGCAGATTGATGTCATATTCAGTCATCATTTTTTATCTGCATCTATTAACTTCCAAAATAATTTAATACAGTTTTGTAAAAAGAAAGCGTAACTAAGAAAACTAGCCATTTATTTGTATTTTAGACATTTATTTGTATTTTTAAGGTTACCTTAAACTCTGGATTATATTACCCCCAAAACTAATGGCTCTTCTTTTTTAAGTTTAGTTTCTTGTAGTTTGAATTGAAGACCGTGGTGGATGTGAAAAGCTTGCATTGGGCATGGAGAGAGCTGTGACTTTCAGGTGCTCACCATCCTTCTCTTGCAGGTGGATTGTTTGAACCCTGTTAACCACCAGAGACTGTGTGTGCTCTTCAGCAGCTCTTCTGCCCAGTCCAGCAATGCTCCTAGTGCCTGTGTTAGCCCTTGGTAGGATTCTTTGCCTCCTGCACTCTCACACTTTGCTTAAGTACAAAACTAAGGGGACTTAAAAACAGCCATTAGAATATTTTTTAGGTATACAGTATGCTACTGGTCATATAGGAATGCTTAGAACTTCTAAACCTATGAATTAAGTGTAAAACTTGTATTTGGTTGTTGGTAGAGTACCTTAAATAAGAGGTAAAAGGGAATGAGTGATGGAAGATAAATTTGTACAAAAAAAGCAAAAAATTGATGACATGAAAGCTAGTTTTAAGCATTTTTATAATGTGTAATTTAGGAAAATTTTCTGTCAGGCTTTATTTTTATAAAAGCATTTGGTCGCTTACTAATGGGTTTTGTTCTAAAGCTTAATTCTAAGTAGACTGTAAACTAAATGTTAAAAATTATTTGTTTTAAATAAGAGTCACAAAAGCCTAGTTACTACATAGTTTACCTGCAGTTTTAAAAATACTGTTCATTATAATTACTTGTTTTTGGAGCATTGTTTCCAAGGCGAATGTGTTCTTGTATTTTAATTTTGACAACAGAAACACTTACTTCTATCTACTGCAATCGGATTTTTTGTGTGTTTGTTTGTTTTTTGGTTGTGATATAGCCTTCGAGCAGACTTGTAGCTGGGAGAGCCATGGGGGTTTTCTCTGAGAGTTTATGGACCCCCTTAGGTCAAGACTTGAAAATGATGTGGGTTTCAACAGGGGTACAGCCAGCTTCTCTTGTTTGTGGGCATACATTAGGTATAAAGGTATAACTTTTCTCTCCTAAAATAATGAGTTCCATTTTATGTTGTCAGGGCTTAGCTTTGTAAAGAATGCTTATTTCTTCCTAACTCAAAATAGTATTTATTTAATACTGTAGTTTACGCATCCTCATTAAATAGTTTTGTAAGATAGTTAATGGATTGGGACTGGATTAAGCTAAGCTGCTGTAGTGTGACCAGTCCAAATCCATTTTATCAGATGAGGGAAAACTTGTTCTATAGCAACTTGCTTTAATCCTGTGCTGTCAGCATGTACAACAGCAAATCAGTTTATAGTCTCAAGAGATGTTTTTTGCTGTGTGCTTATTCTTATGATACATTTCTAAGAAATTCTCTTTTTCAGGATTGTAACAATGGAATTTTATGGGAAGAATGATCTTACATTAGGAATCTTTTTAGAGAGATACTGTTTCAGGTAAGAATATTTTTTCAACTTATATTTTAATTTTGCTTTTTTGATGTCTAGAATTTCAGATTTAAACATATACTTAAGTTGACTGTCAAGTATTGCTGTATGGCCCTCACTTTTATACCATGAGTCACAGTATACTATATAAAGAAGTAATCTATTTCACATTCAACCTGGGAGGCTTACCCAGTTCAAATCTCTGTCTGTTCAAATCCCTGTCCACCTTATTATTCTATAATCCCTAAGATGTTTTTTGGAGGGGTGGGGAGAAGTAGTGGGAGAGAATGTTTTTAGTGATTCAGGTGAGAGGTAGGAGAATCTTAGGTATCAGCTAGACCTCAAGTGTCATGCTATATGACCTGCTGCTTACATGACATAACAGGTAATTTAATCTTTGTGGAGCCCCCTTAGTAGAAAACAACAGATTCCAGAAAGAAATGTCAGGGATTTTAATAGGCAAAATAAATGTTTTAAAAATGTTCATCAAATAGAAGGTGCTTAACACCTTAACTACTGTGCTTTAGTTGGAGGCAGGTGTTCAGCTTCGGACTGTGAGCAGCAAGAGTGCACAACTCTGCACAGATCAGCCTCCCAGTTGTTACTCAAAAGAGGATGCTCTGCTTTCTCAGCAGTGTTTCTGATTGACCACTGTACATTGCTCTTGATTTTATGGTTAACATGAGGATTTTCTTTTTGTTAAAGACCTTCTTATCAGTGCCCTAGCATGTTCTGTGATACCCCCATGGTACATCACATTCGGCGCTTTGTCCATGGCCAAGGCTGTGTGCAGATAATCCTGAAGGAGCTGGATTCTCCAGTACCTGGGTATCAGCATACAATTCTCAATTACTCATGGTGCAGAATCTGCAAGCAGGTAAATGTTTATAATATTGCATATAGTATCATTTCTTTATTCATGTGGTTCTTTTCAGGGGAGTAGCCTATACTATTTTGTTATTTGCAATTGGGCTTTCATTTCTTTTACTTACCAGTGCTGTATATTTTACCTTCCAGTATATGTATTTAATGTTTGTTTTTAAAAATTCCATTTTAGAATTTATGTCATTATGTTAAATGTAGATACTTTGCCTAGCAAAAATACATGGAGATCTGTCTTAACAGTTCTCCATTACAGTTGTTTATTAATTCAGCAAATTATTTAGCACCATCTATATACTGCAAACAAGGTATGGCTCCTGTCCTCATAGGAAAGAGACAGACTTGTAACATGATAATTATAATTTAATAGAATGTTTGTATAATAAATGTAAGCCTATATCAACATTTCTATATCAAAAGTTACAGTTGAGACCATGTTTAAGTTGTGTTGCACTGTTTTTTTGTGTATATTCTTGAGAAAAGAACCATGTCTTCTTTTCTTCTTTATGCTTTTTCTAAGTCTATAGCAAATATTACCTTTTAAACAGATTGTTTGCAGTATGTGCCAAGTTTAACTTCATTATTTTGAATGGTGCTATTAGAAGGGGAATTACAGATAAAATGATAATGAGTTCGCCATCACTATCAGTGGCTGAGGAGGGCAGACTCACAGCTATTTCTTCTGCAGCAGCCAACACAGGGGTGTGAAATCATTTCTTGCAGCTAACGGTCTTGCCTTTTATATTTACTCTTGTAGGCCTTCAGTTTCTCTTAGGCAACTGGTAATATTTTATGAAAGAATGTGTGGACTCCTGTAGATTGACCAGTGAACTAAGTGAATAATTTACATTTGGTATTTAGGTCTTACATGCTTTGGTATAAGAACTTCTGCTTGGGTTATATTAGAAAGAGAGAGGTAAACAGTTTCTGTTTCACAAAAGTTAACATTCTGTGTATCAAGAAAAGTTATAACAGGTGTAACCAAACATTGACCTGTTAGGTTTCTATAAGCCATAGTAGAAAATTTAACAAAGGGCATGACAAAGCAAATTAACACAAATAACACATGCAAGTAAACTTTCTTAGTAGTCAATGAGATATAAATAAAATCAATGAAGTTCTTTTAGTTTTTTTTTTTAAGAAATCAAATTTCAAAAACTTGTAATTTCTAAGGTTGATAATAAAATGGGGATATTGGTATTCTCAGATACTATTGCAAATTATCTAAATCAGTACCCCTGTTTTGGAAGGCCATATGGCAAAAAGTATCATGGATGGTATAAGTGTTTGGTTCATTGACCATTCAGGTCTTACTTTTATTATTTTATTCCAGTGAAATTATTATAGAGATTTATAAGTATGTATATAAAAAGCCCTTTCAACAACATGAGCTTTGCAAGTCCATTTATCGGCATACTTTTTTTTCAATAAGTATATTGGAAAAATTTGTGAGATTTCTGACAGTTTGAAAAATCACAGGTTAGAAATATCAAAACACTGTACAGCCAGAACTATTGAATAAATTAAGAAGGTTAGGTATGTCATTAATGCATGAAATAAATGTAGGTAATAGTTTGTTTTCTTATTTACTACCATAAAATTGTATGCAAATCTATTACAAAAACTTAAAACTTATTAAAGCTTGCACAAACACAAAACATCATGTCACTTATAGTTGAGAGAAATGTAAAAACTGATAAGACTGCTGTTGACCATCAGTCCGTTAGCAGTGCACTTCACTAAGTCTGGCTCTTCTGCTCCCAGTCTGTGCCTGGTGAATCCTCTCACCTGCACCTCTGGCCTGTCCCCAGTTTTCTATGCAAAATAAAAGAATATTTCATGTGAGCAAATACTGATTGCTAAGTAAAAGTAAGTTATGAAATGAATTACAGGAATTTTAATTTATAAATATACTGACCATGCATCTCTTTATTCTTATATTAAGGAAGACACAGTAACATATTGATGTTGATGGTAGGATTACTGCTCTCTCTAGCCATTCCTAACTCTCCGGTCTTTATTTTCCAGTTTTCTGCAGACAGATTTCTAGTAGAAAATAACAAATCTTAGTTGTTTTTTTTTTTTTTTTTGAGAAGAGATTCTCTGTAAGTAATTGGATAACAAGTGATATGTGCTGAATTTCAGGTAACACCAGTTGTTGCTCTTTCCAATGAGTCCTGGTCCATGTCATTTGCAAAATACCTTGAACTTAGGTTTTATGGGCACCAATACACACGTCGCGCCAACGCTGAGCCATGTGGTCACTCCATCCATCATGACTATCACCAGTATTTCTCCTATAACCAGATGGTGGCATCCTTCAGGTAAGAGCCAGAGTGACCTTGTGCACAGTCACATACTCCCAGGAAGGCTTTAGAACATTTCCACTACTGCTCGATTGCATTAGTGAGTGGAAGGGTGGTGGTCCCCCTTCACTTTGCAAATACAGAAGACCATACTCGTGCTAAGATGTTAATGTTACTATTTCATTTAATTGTTACCCTGAGAAATAGCTGTTATTATTATTATCCTTCACTTTAGCAAGTGATGGAATCTATACTCTGGTAGATCTGTGACTACAGTCACTCTTAACCACTATTTGGGAGTTGTCAGAAATTTGCTAAGATATTAACTAGTATAAAGTTAGTTGGGTATTCCAGATAAAGCTAACTAAGATGACTGGTTCATAGGATGGGTAGTTATCACTGTGGTATTAAATGATGTGAGCAAGTTTCAAGCTCTACTTTGAACATATATCTAGAGTCTAAATATTTCTCACTCTACTACTCTGGACAGAGCCTTATCTTTTACTACATGTTTACAGGAGTCTCATTGCAGTTTCCCTTTGGCCTACCCTTTGCTTGTCCTCAACACTGCAGACAGAAAGATCTTGTTAAATGAAAATCAGCTTCTTTACTTTGGATTCACACTGGGTGTCTGTTTCACCCTGAGTGAAAGCCAGAGTCCACTTACCGGCCTTTCAACTCCAATTTCTGGTGTCCTGAGATCTCTCTCCCCTTTCTTCCTCCTACCTTCCCATCCCTGGTCCTTTACAGCCTTGCTGGCTTCCTTGCTAGGTCTCAGTTATGTGAGGCATTATCAGCCCCAAACCTGACAGCCTTGTCCTTACTTGTCTCCCTATCAGCTGTCAGGTATCTGCCTGCTTTTTTTTTTTTTTTTTTTAACTTCCTGTAGGTCTTTACTCACATTTATTCTGCCCTGACTCTAACTTACTCCTCCCTGCTCTCGTTCCCTTTGCAGCTTTATTTTCACATGTATCACCTGACATAAATGTTAAATATTTATTTGGTTTATTACCAAAATCTCCTCATTGCTGAATCCCGAGGATAGCAGTTTGACCCTTGTTGTGTTTATATCCTCACCACTTAAAACCATATCTAACACATAAGAGACACCCAGGAGTATTTGTATTGAATCCTATTTTCTTTTTTTAAGCAGTTTTTTAAACTGTGGACTTAGGGTCTATAGGGGATATGGAGCACTTACTAGACAACATACATCAGCTGGGAAGTTGACGATTATGTGACTTTAAGCTATAATCGAATGAAGGAAAAATTCCCTTTCCTCACTCATGGTTTTTGTCCAATTCATATTTGTTTTTAAAGCATACAAAAGTATAAATGATGAAAGTGCAGTCAAAACAAAACAAAATCTAAAATTAGTAAGGCATTTTATATTTGAAAGTTGTCTGATATTTTTATAATTGTCTTAAAATGCCATTTTATAGAAACTTTATATTACCTTATGCCTCATTGGATTTATCTCTGACCATCTAGATACATCCCTGGTTATGATATTAAAACATTTTTCTCTTTGTACTATTGTATTTTCTCCTCTCAGTTATTCTCCCATTCGGCTTCTTGAAGTATGTGTTCCACTTCCCAAAATATTCATTAAACGTCAGGCCCCATTAAAAGTGTCCCTTCTTCAGGATCTTAAAGACTTCTTTCAAAAGTAAGTTTTAGTTTCTCTGATCATTTTGTTTTCTTTAGTACTCCCTGTAATCTAGAATATCAAATTTGTTGATTTAACTTACTTTGAAAAATGTATTTATATATTATATATTTTTTTGTATCTTATGTATCTTTAATGTTACAAAATACAGAAAATTTCAGAAGTTACATACATAGCGTTAATATATAAAAGCATTAAGAAGCCAAACTCAGATACGAGAGTTGTTGAAATTTTGATGTAATCATTTAACGTTTTTTCCCCTACAAAATTATATATATTTCTTTTTGTAAGATATTTATTGAACTTTGCTTTATAGCATTATATCAATTGTGCATCACTATAAATCATTGTGTGTATAGGCTACATTAAATTTATCATTAAGAGGTCAGTTCTTGTTTCCTCCATATTTTGACCCCTTTTACCTGAATTAGTCACCATTCCTGTCCTTTCTGGTAACTACTAATTTGGACTTACAATCTAAAAGTTTATTTTTGTCATGTTTAGTTCACTTGTTTCTTTATGTACATATGAGTCAGACCATATGTTTTTGTCTTTCTTCATCTGACTTACTTCACTAAACATAATACTTTAAGGTTGCTCCATATTGTTGCAAATGGCAGGATTTCATCTTTATTTTTACAATAGAGAAGTTTTATTGTGTATGTACCGCATATTCTTTATGTAGTCATATGTTGAGGGCACTTAGGTTGTCTCCAATTCTTAGCTACAGTGAACATGGGTATATAATTAGTACATACCTAAACCATAGTTAAAGTTTTCTGTTTGTGACACCTTTTTTTCTGTTTATGTGAGTTTAGAAGATGTGATTCCAAGTTTTCTGAAATGTTTTATATTTATGTTCTTATTGTTAGAGTTTCACAGGTATATCTTGCTGTTGATGAGAGACTTGCATCTTTAAAAACTGATACATTTAGCAAAACAAGAGAAGAAAAAATGGAAGATATCTTTGCTCAAAAAGAGGTAACTCATTTCTTTGACAGAGGGCCCACAGGTTAGCTATTAACTTATTAGAAGATGCTTCTGGTTTGCGACAGTTTGTTGAAGTTGTTTTTATTCCTTGTAGATGGAAGAAGGAGAGTTCAAGAACTGGATTGAGAAGATGCAGGCAAGGCTAATGTCTTCCTCTGTAGATACCCCTCAGCAGCTACAGTCAATCTTTGAGTCCCTTATTGCCAAGAAACAAAGTCTTTGTGAAGTGCTGCAAGCCTGGAATAACAGGTATAGCTCTGAAGTCTGGTGTTTCTTCAGTTACTCTGAGTCCTCCGAGATATTTTTAATTTAAATCTCCTTATTAATTATGTAGTTAATTTTACTCTCAGGTTGTGGAAGCTTTATTTTCTGTCACCACATTTCCTTTAACAAATATATGCTGGTCTTTAGGTGGTTTGTGAAAATAAAAGGACAAAGATGAAAACAACCTTTAATGTTGCTTCAGATACTTACGAGTGTGTGTGCTTATTGAATTTCATATAGCTGATTTAGTAGTAGCTATAAAAGATTATTGACTTTTAGGTCAAGGATTTCAAATATATTATTATGAGTATCTCATAACCATTTTTTCAATATTCACTTAGGGAATCTTTCCTTTTAGTGCTTATTTAACTGTTCAGTTTATAGCATTAATTTATTAAACAATTGGATTATGATAGGCCCTAAGTGAACTTTTGGTCTTAAGAGTCTACAGTACGTACACTGTTTTCTTTTTACAGAGGAAGAAACTGACTATAAGACACTAAGAAATTTGTTGAAGTATAAGCTGTTATCAGACCTGGGATCGAGCTCATGTTATTTTATGTTTTTCTGTCTCTTATAACTACATGCTATTCTCTTTAACTATGATGGTATCAGTAACAACTCCTCATTAGCTGACTAGAAATGACAAAAACTTGTTTATATGTAATGTTAAAGTCTATTGTTGTCAAAATAGGATTAATTGTTACTGTTTCAAAGCTTTGTACATATTATTTAAGATATTAGAAACAAAGTCATATTCTTCTCTTTCTCTTCAACTGTAGGTTGCAGGACCTTTTCCAGCAGGAAAAAGGTAGAAAGCGACTGTCAGTTCCTCCAAGTCCTGGAAGACTGAGACAAGGGGAAGAAAGCAAGGTAGTAGAATGTAGTTTTGCCTTTGGTCTTTTTTTTTTTTTTGTTATAAATATTGTAATTTCATTTATGACACTTAAAAGTAGTAGGTTAATACATAGGTATTAATAATATTAAATAGAATTTTTCATTTTGAAGATGTGAGGTTTCATGGAGACATCACCCGGATTAAATTTTTGTCTTAGCCTTAAACAAAATATATTAGAATTCATTTATTTGAAACAGTTATCAGAACCTATTGTTACAAGTATCACTGGAGATCTTTATATTTGCAGAAGGTACTGTCAAGGAATCTTTGTGGATGCTCTGAATGTAGAACAGAGTTCTAATTCACTTTACTATGCAATTTTGGGTGTTTTTTTAAATTTCTGTTTAAGTGAGAAGCTTTTCTTAAAGAATCTGCACTGAGTTAGTTCTACACATTGGCTTAACCATATAATAGGATTAATTTCTTAGCTGCATAACAAATTACCAAAGCTTAGTGGCCTAATGCACAAAATTATCAATTTACAGTGGGTCAGCATTCTGTCGTGGTGAGTACTGGGTTCTGCTCAGTCTCACATAGCTGAAATCAGGATTTTAGCAAGGGCCATTTGTTATTTGAGGCTCAGGGTCATCTTTCACGCTCACACAGGTTGTTGTGATAGAATTTTACTTGTGCTTTTAGGGCTGAGGCCCTCTTTGGCTGCTGGCAGTGATGATGCTCAGCTCCTCGAGACTGCTTGCCATGTGGCCCCTTCCATTTTCAGACATGGTAGAAATCCATCAAATCCTTTTTATGCCTCAAATTCAGATTTCCTCTGTCTCTGACCTTTAGATACAGATTAAAAGCTTCATGTAGTTAAGCCATGCCTACCCGATCTCTTTATTTTAAGATAAAGTGATTTGGAACCTTAAATATATCTGGAAAATGCCTGCATTCAATGTCCACATTGGTGTTTGTTTGAATAGCTGTAAGATGTGTGTGTTTTGATAGCAGGGTTTGGGGATTTTGGGGAGGATCTTAATTCTGCCTGTTATCTTGACCATTCAAATGGTTAATGTCAGTATATGGTGTGAAGGATTTGAGAGAATGTTTTCTTTGTCTACAAATGTGTAATGTCTGGGGCCCTCTTGGTGGCACAGCTGGTTAAAGCTCAGCACTGTGAAGTTATCTGCAGCCACTGCAGCACGAGTTCAATCTCTGGCAAGGGTGGTGGCCCACATGGCGTGGCAGAACCCTCCTGACCCGCCTGCTGCTCTCCTCAGCAATGTATTTTAATACATCTGTCTCTTCTGCTCCCCATTCTGGTGAATCCTCTTACGCCCTGCACCTCAGGCCTGTACCCCAGTTCTGTATGCACAAATAAATAAATCTTTTTAAAAAAACAAACATGTAATATCTGTTGAGGAGTGTATGCATGGAATGATACATCCAAGTGCCTTAGATCTTTGTGCTATTTAATATAAAGCATTCTTCCTTTTTGTCACATAAACAATTATGTAGTAATTACTTTTCCTTAAAGTTTAGATGAGAGCAAGAATAAGGATTACAGAAGATTTACATTAGTATTTTGCCAGATAGCCAAGATAGATCTGTTAATGGCTAGCCTTGATTGCTAGTGATTTTTCCATTTGCCCACTAAAGGAACTGTAGAACTAGTGTTATAAGACCTTTATAATATTTAGACATAGAATTGAAAATACAAAGTCATTCAAGAGATGATCATCTTTAGAAGGTTGAGAATTGACTTGATGCCATAGTACTGCCTTTATATTCATTCGATAAACAGTTCTTGATTACCCTTGAGCTTTGTTCTAGATACAAGGCATATAGTTTTGAACAAAATCTATACTTTCTATTCCCATAGAACATTTGTCTAATGAAGAGAAGACCACAAATACATAGTGGTGGTGGAGTGGGGGAAGGTATGAGAAAAATAAAGGAGAGTACTGTCAAGGGAGTGGGTGGTGGTGGGTTGATGTAGGGTACCAGGGAGGGAGCCCTAACATGGTGAGCAAATATAAGAACATTCTAAGTATAAAGCATTCTAAATACAGTCACCTAAGAAGTGACACTATCGTCAAATTTTATACCTGGCGTATAGTCATTCTATTTGTATTATATCTATGGATAATAGAACTTGAGAAAATCCAATGGCTACTTAAAGATTACTTGGTTTATTGTTTAATAATTAAGCATATCCTAGATACTTAAATGCTAAGAAGTGAGCTTTTATTCCAGTAATGTTCTCAAAGTATGACCCAAAGGTTTAAGACCCTGTTAGTGACAGATTTACATTTATTAAAAAACTATTCAAAAAGAAAGATTTCCTATTTTTCAACTAAGTGAATCTAGAATTGCTTTCTATACTTCAGTCAATAGATTAAATGCAGAAGCTAGATAGAAACCTAGATGGCTTCTGTTAGGCTAGACATAAAGTATTCATAAAAGTATAAAGCAGTGCCACAGTTTCAATACTTTTTTGAGGAAATTAGCTGTTTTTTTTAGTATTTATTTATCTACACATACATAATGGGTACAGGCCAGAGGTGCAGGAGCGGTGAGAGGATTCACCAGAGACAGA